TCGATGTGCGAACTCCGCCTCGGGGTACGGTCATTTTTCCGCCCTGACATGTGGTCCGCGGGCATTTTTCCGCCCCTGACACGTGGTCCACAGGCGTTCTCTCGCCGCGCCGTGCCCGGCCGTTCTCCCGCCCCTGACACGTGGTCCGCAGATGCCAGAACAGATTAATGGTAATTACATTGAACCTTATGGGAAAATTTGCTTCGGGGTGCGACCAAATTCGGAGGGCGGAACGGATTAACGGGATTTACATTGAACCCTATGGGAAATTTGCGTCAGGTTACAACCAACTCGGGATACGCCCAGAGTCACGGAACGCATTAAGTTCGTATCCCGAGGTACCACTGTATATTTATTTATTTATTTGCTGCTTACAGTATATGGAAAGAAGAAATCCCCTTTACTTCTTTTCAATAAGTGGAACTAGCGGGACAAGATTAGTGGGAAGATGGAATTATGTCCCCTTTCTGCCTACTATACTCTCAGTCCTGGCTGCAACATTTACCACTTCTAAAGCACATATGGGTGACATTGCTCTATCTGGATAGAGATTGTTGCAGGGTTAGGGAACTAAAATCTGGTCATTTTTTGTCACAGCAAAATGGCCAGTCTTTCCAGTTTAATGCTAAATTGCACCACCAAGTACAACAAGAAACCAGTGTCTGAACCAGTGTTCCTCAACCTTAGCTACTTTAAGATGAGTGGCTTTCAATTCCCAGAATTTCCCAGCCAGCCATGGGTGAGAAATTCTGGGAACTTAAATCCACATATCTTAAAGTTACTAAGGTACACTGGTCTGGACACATCCTTCTTTAAGCAATGGCTTTTCGTTACAGGATTTCTCCATAAGCATCAGTGTCATCTGGAAGTCCCATCATTATCACATGGAAAAGCACTGACGTTTCAGAAAGTCACCATGCAGGATTGCTCTAGACTTTCCTGGCTTGTGACATTTTTGTTTATCTTGTGCCCATTCTTCATTTACATGTGTGAGTTTACTGTCCCAGTCTTTTTTGCCTCACAGGTCACTTGGAGCCAGAAAATAGGTCTTTTTAGCTTCAGCAAGTAGTTTCATGTGGCCTCATCTGATTCCCTGAAGCATATATTTATATTTTCTGTATAAAGTAGGCTGCCTTCCTTTCACATTATGGAAAACTTTTTCCTTTGAATTTGCAGGACAGATGCACTTAAGCTCCTGCCTACCCAGAAGTTATGACTGCTGTATATTGAATTTCTACTGAAATTATTTCAAAATTTGTATCACTACATTCAACTTAGCATATGCCAATGTTATGCAATTGCGTGTCTTTTTTATGATCCATTTCCTCTCTTGTTTTTTTTTAAAGCATGAAGGACAACTCTAGTACTCTTGGATTTAAAAGCCAGCTGAAATACAAAAACAATGGAGAAAGGAATAAAGCAGGAATAAATGGCTGCTTGAGCTTGGGTAAACATGTTACAGTAAAGCAGGCATTGTAATGTGCTGTAACATGTTTACCCAAGCTCAAGCAGCCATTTCAAGCATTATAGGAGATCCTGGTAATATTAACTCCGTAAAGTGCTAATTTTTATAGCTAAAAAGTAGAAATGCAAGAGAAAAACCAAGGGAGAATTGAGATGAAGAGAATAGATGGCATGAAGAATACAAGCACTTTAAAAAAACCTACAGAAGGAAACATCAGCTGCCATACACAATCTACCAGAGATGGATCAACACAAACCAAAAAACTAAAATAGAATATATTACCTCGTTGGCAGTTCACAGGATCCAAAGCAGCGAAAAAGCAGAGGGTAACAGCCAGAAAAGTTTTCATGTTAGTGACACAAAGATGCCGCTTGCCTGATCAACAGCTTGTATTCTTTGCTGGTGATAGAGAAGTAAAGTTACTCCTTGCCTGAAAAAAGCAAGAAGACAACCTGTGAAATCACAAGATTGAAGGTGTCTCTGTGTAGGCCCCGCCTAGATTAGCCTGGTAGATCATCAAACGCATTATCTGGAGGGTTGTCCCTCAAAAACATTCCAGAACGCTTTAGCCACCTAAAGAGAGAAGAGAGTGGTTTTACCTCTCCTTTCTTCCTGCATGATTCAGAGATCTGTGAGGTGAGTTTTTGGCAGCTAATTCATGACTTGGAGAGAGTCCAGGGAAAAAAGGCGGAAGTCTGTTTCAGTATTTGGCATAGAAAGGCTGAGAAACCAAAATTACAAACTGTTGCAATGGCTTTGGTATATAGGGCAGACAAAAGAACCAATTAAAATATATATTTCAGGAGGAAGAGGAAATATCTCCCACAAACAAGAAATTCAGCAACTGCCCAACAGATTTTTGATTTGCCACTAAAGCTAGAGAGCAGAACACACACATACACAAAACCCTTTTCCATCTGTTTTGAGGAAGGACACAAATTTTCCTTCGATTTTGGGAAGTAGAAGCAGGATACTACTTTTCTGTTCAGAGAACAGGAAAGGGGTCTGCTTAGGAGAAAGTTTGTTCAATGTGTCTTAACTATGTTGGTAGAGATGGACATGGCATGAAATTTGAAGATGACATAAAATGGGACCATTAGCACAGTGTCACAGCTGGACCACTTGGTATTTGATACTCTAGGAGCAATTTTCTCCAAGGCAGATTTCTCCAAAATGGACTACAAATATCATTCATTCTAGTCAATGTTCCTGCTGGGTGGGGAGGAAAAGGACCACAGTTTACCATGATTAGAGAATGCGAGTTTGGGAAGGCAGCCATAATAACAGAGGAAAACTTAGTTTTTCCTCTTACTAATGAGCCAACCAAGCAAATGAAGCTATACCAGGCCAGTTCTGAGTTGGATTATTCCACTTGCCAGAATTATGCTTTAGTTTATTTTAACTGTAACAAGGAAAGCCATCTTTCCAAATCTTCTTTACTGAAAAATTTAAATCTGAGGCTCATTGAGCAAACTTTGCTCCTCCAGATGTTGAACTCCAACTTCTATCAGCTCTAACCTAGATAACCAATGGTGAAGGAACACAGAGTTACAGCCCAGGACATAAAGGGCTCATAAAGTACTCAAGTACTCAAAAAGTACTTAGGCCAACATGCATATGAAATTACTTTTACCAGCAGCAGAACTGGTTTTTCAATCACAGGAATGTGCTAGAGTGGTAAAGGAGGCAAAAACTTTCAGCATGTAATTGATTAAGGCAGTGTTGTCCAAACTTGCTGGCTGGTGAATTCTGGGAGTTGAAGTCCACTCATCTTAAAGTGGCCAAGTTTGGACAACACTGGATTAAGGTCTTGTCAATTTCAGGCAACAACTGCAAGCTGGGAGGGTACTAATCAGCTAATTAAGGTCACAAAGCTGAGCTTCTTAACTTGGGGTTAGTACTTATTAGGGAACCACTGGGTAGAAAAACTGCTCTGGAAGAGATAAGCTTGTTAGATATTCAAAAAGCTGGACAATGTTTGATTTTAAGGCATGCCTCTGGAATGGAGGACATGAGGACAAGAAGGAGGACATGTATCTATTATACAGTATCTATTGTTGGATCTATTTATTTTCTATTAAGAGTATTGTATATTGTAATTTTAATTGATTTTAACTTTTTTGTAAACCACTCAGTCATTTCAACAAGATGGGTGGTGACAAATTTGATATATAAAAAATAAATAAAATATTAGTGCTATATTGACCTCTTTCCAACTCTCTGGAATTTTTC